TAAAGTTCCATAACTGAATGAAATCAAAAAATGATCTCAGTACATCATCAGACATGACGGAATTAGCTATGTTAAAGTGCTGGCTTCTCTGACAACAACGCAGCAGACAGTATGCCCTCTTCCTAAGCTTCGATTCTGGTCCTGAATAGTCTATTTTTGTTTTCGCCCCTCGGTTTAAAAAAGGTAACCAGCAGAACCAACAGATGTTGCCGCGATGGAAGCGGGCAAAGGAACTGGTTGATATAACTGATTCTACCCGACCTCTCTGTATTTTTTTAGCCCCACATGTCTCGCCCCCATGACAAGAAACGTGGTATAACCAGGATGAATATTGGAGACGCTTTTGAAAAATGGAGAGAGGTTAGAACGCAGGGTTTCAAGACTTCTGAAGAGCTGGTGTATTACTGAAGCTTCTGTGTCCACAACATGGCAATCTAGTGCATGAACGTAGACTCTAGGGAGGAGGGGCAGGGGCGAGGGGGAGACAGCTCTCTCCAATCTCTTTGAACTGCAGCTCCCATTTTTAAACACTACATTTCAGAGTTACATATTGCTCCTTTACGTAGTGTTTCTTCAATCAATAGGTCATGAAGCTGACTTTATTTATTGATTCATACATTTTTTTAAAGATGAGGAAAAAAAAGCCACATTTATTTATTTTTGAAGTCTTCTGAAGGGTTAAAGGAAACTGCAGTGTGCTGGCTTCATGGGCTGCACAATGAAGGCGATATCTGGAAGATCCAGGTAATTTAGTCCATCTGTTTTGGATTTATGCCACTCTAAGCAGCTTTCATAAGAATAAACAGGCCCCTGCATCCAACACTGAATCCAGGCCTTTTCCATCCAGGAGGCTTGTGCCTATTTCGTTTTCAATATGTGAGCCTCTATTTGTCCAGCAGGATTTCTATTTAAATATTCTGAGTCTTCAAACTCCAGTTATATACCAAGGATTACATCATCGGGGACATTCTGAAGATTAAGGAGCTCCCTGCACAGAAACTAGAAAGTGTTTTACAGGATGACAAGTGCTACTCACGATGAGTAACTCAACGTGATGTGTCAAATCTCAGTGCCACTTCAACGTCAGTGGTCTTATTTAAACACTCTAACAGTGAAAGTTTGGACTAACAACCTCTAAAATACCTCGGGGTCTGGACAAATCAGTTAGGCAGTGATGTTGTGAACACCAGACAGATCCCTTAATAACAGAAGCAATTTAACAATCCCAAAGAGGGAGCGAAAATTCAATAATTAAAAAAGATACCGAACAAAAAGATTGAAAACACCAGTTCATTCAAACAAAGATAAAATACCCAGAGGAGTACAACAAAAAGAAACTGGAGAGAAAAAATGAAGTGCACAAATGAAAAGAAAAAACACAGAAGAAGCAGAAACAAAAAAAAAAAACAAGGACAAACAGGTGAAAGTGAATGAGATGGGGTTGGACACACATGGATGGAAGAAGTCTCAAAGTGAGAAGAAGATAATGATTAACTATCAACATGAAGCAGAGTTGAAAACACAATGAGCTTAAAACTGCATATATCTGCTTATTTAGTCCCAACACGCTCAGTTAGCTGTTATACATCCACATTATTAAGTGACAACTGCAACATTTTAAAGTTAAGCTGGTTCTATTTGCAAGGTTTAGCACACAAACACAAGTGGCTCTCAGGGGGGCTCTTTACAGTCTGTCCATGAAAACCTCCAAGACCATAAAAAAGCAACACAGAGCAGAGTACAGAGAAGAAAGGAGTAGCAGTCCTAGGATGAAGAGTTAGTCTGGTAAGTGGTTATGGTAGTACTACTGAAACATTCATTCAAACAACTGTGTAGAGCACTAGTACATCTTGTTGGTTTGCAGGGCTGCATTTAGCTGTCATTTTTGTTCGTGGCTATTCTGCCATTTTTTTGTGTCTTCAGAGAACTCAAAGTTGGCTGCCACTGGGGCTGGGGTGGGGCTGTGTCTCAGGCCTGCTGCCACACTGCCATAATGCTCTACTACCTGCACAGTGCACATACGGCATCTCATAGCGTTGACAGGTTTTACAGTGTTTTGATCTTGAATATTGTGATAAAGTTGTATGTAGGCTGTTTCATGTTAAACTCACATATAACCATTTTACCGGAGCAATGCTGAACCAGCACAGGACATTAACCTGCAAGAAGAGCTGAACGCTGGTGGTGCTAGCAATGAAGATGTGCTAGCAGTGCTAGCGGGAAGATCCCCAGATATTACCCAAGTAAAGGCTCATAAATATACATCCAGTTTATCCACAAGTCGATTAAAATTGACTGAAAGAATTGATTTGATTTGCATCTGGTACCAATAAAGTAGAAAGTAGTAAAGTAAATAAATAGGCTTGTCCATAAATGACTTGAAGTGATTTATGTAAAGAATGAAAGCAACTTTAAATGAATTGCTGAACATAAATCATTGTTACAGACCACTTCCACCAACTTTCTAAGTAGCAGCCCTGCCGTGGAAATCCTGAAACAGACACACCCACCGAGCAGGCAACCACACTCAGATCTTCAAACTCTGCACCGCTAACTCAACCTCAAATCTCAGCCCGACTCGAGTCTCACGAGTGGGACTTCCGTGTAATCCTAAGAATCTAAGTGGAAGTAAGTGTCTGAAGCACCCGAGTGTGCTCTGGACTGTCAAACTGTGGCAATCTCAGCCAGTAATAGGCACATTATTAGGTGGCGAGCGAGGGAACCGTGGAGTCCACTGAGGAGAAAGCGGAGAGGCTGATCGTGATAAATAAGTAGCGGAAGAACCAAATCGGCAACTGGGGCATCACAACACAGCAGAGATTTCCTCCCCTCCTCCCTCCTCCCCGGATTCGCTTTCCTCTTGTGGGGTGCCCTCGCCTCGTCTTCCATCACACCCAGCCGCCCACTCCTCCTCCCTCCTATCTCTCTCCCTCTCACAGCCTTTGAAGATGCTTTGTTTTCCTACTTGCGTCTAATCTTCAAATAGGGTGATCTAATAATGGCCGTGAGAGTGTGTACGCAGGCAACTTCTGATGCACTGAACCGTGCGCGCTTGTGTGGATGCCTCCTGCACATGTCAAGCTGTATGCATGATTTTTGTGTGTCTGTGTACATTTATGTGTGTTTGTGCATGTCTGCCTTACTGGAAAACACACATGGCGATGCTCCCCAATGCATTGCCCAGGGTGCCGTTTGGATGTCATGCTGGGCCCTCCCTGTGTCTGTCTGAGATATGGGGGGGGTTAGGGGGACACAACCCTATGTGTGTGTGTGTGTGTGTGTGTGTGTGTGTGTGTGTGTGTCACAGCATGATGGCTGGTGCAGTCAACACACACAGACAGTTGGATACCAGCAGTCTCTGCAGGGAAAAGGGGGGCGGGGGAAAAGGAGCAAGATGTAGAACAAAGACTTTCATAAAGTTAACACAAAATTGAAATGAAATGCTACAAAAAAAAAAAAAAAAAAAACTTATTTTAACGTGATAAACAAACCAAAAGGAACCGAGACGAAAGCCTTTGATCCTGTTCAGTTTGTACCTGCTGAATCTGTGTGAGCCGTGACATGTGTGGATCCACATGAAAGGGAGGATAAAGGTGCAGGGATGCCTCACACAAACCTTCAGATTTCAAAAACAATATTCCACCTCTGTATTAGTGAGCAACCCTAAAATATTCCACTTTCTCTAAGTACCGTGTAAGACGTTTTCAAGCATGAGTGAATATCGTGTCCACAATACCTAGAGACTGAAACAAACACTCTATTTACAAACTCCCTCATCTGTTCACCTTACTACATCCAAACAAATTCATCCATTAGAGTGAAAAGATTGCCTTTTAGAGGGGGAGACCTTGACAACGAGCTAGAATGAATGCTAACATCCATCTCGTCTGTCTTCCCTTGGAAGAATTTGGAGCAGCAGCAGCAGCAGCAGCAGCAGCAGCCAAGGCCCATTTGGATAGTAAAAAAAAACTCTCATAAGGCAAGAGATCTAATTGAATTGCCTCTGATGGAAAGAAGAGCTCAATACCCTTTTACAGGTTGGAGTCAAGATGGAGGGAAGAGGGAAGGGCAGAAAGGGGAGAGTCAAAGGGAGACAAAGTGAGAGGCGAGCGGTGTGGTGGCGCTGAAAGGGGGGAAGGAGGGTGATGACGGGGTGGAGGATAATTGGGATGGACAGATAAGGAGGGAGGGAGGGAGGAAACAAAGAGACCAGATGACAAAAATAGAGGGGGGGGGTGGTTATGATGGAGATGGATGGAGGCGAGGGTAGGGAGGAGGACTAATAGCAGAGACGGAGAACCGAAACAAGTACTGATTAATAGTTTTGATTGGCTTATCAGCGTGTCCTTTTTCTGGTCCTCAGGGGCGGAAATGGGCTCGCACAGAGAAGTGAGAAACTGATCAGTCATTAATGTGGCTGACAGTTTGAAGATTTCTCAATAACAGAGGTGGCCTTGGCTCGCACACACTCCTTTAACTCATCACAGGCTGCCCACACACCCTCTGGCACACACACACACACACAGCCTTCTTCTTCAAAGGAAAAAACAACAATAACTGATGCCCCTGAACGTACACCATGTCAGGCTTACACACACACAGCAAACTCTCGCCTGTGGCATTAAGGCCATCCTGCCACATCTAATAAACTTTAAGGATGGACTCAGTGGGCCATGGCAGGGTGTCCACTCTGCTCTTCTTAGGCAGCATCTGTCTTAAGCCTGATTCTCAACACGTCTGCCTGTTGTGTGTCTCAGGATGCGTAATCCGTGACTTCTTATGGCTCTTTCAATTTGTCCCAATTAACGTCCATCGATTGCCCATTTTGCCTGCGAGGAGCCGTCGCCTGTCTGCTTCATATTCAGCACCTCGCACAGTAAGACACTTTCACTTTAACAATGGATATCTCTTTCAGATGACCTGGTGTGACAGCAGACAGGGGGGGGAGGAGGGGAGGGGGTGTGTGTGTGTGTGTGTGCGAGGGTGTTGGCGTCTCTCACCAGAATTCTGTCCTCTGTTTTGCCGCTCCTCATGTCCTGCTTGATGGCTCGCACAAACTTAATGGCCTGCTTGTCCAGCACCTTCCTGATGCTCTCTGAGGGGAGAAAAGGGGGAGAAAACAGGAGAGTTAATTACATAACGTAAACACATAACAGAATGAAAAGCACTGCCCTCAGATGCACTCAGGAAAGCTGTAAAAAGCTTTTAACGGAGAAACTAATAAATTCAAATATGCAGCTGGGAAATAAATGGAAGGAGAACCCTGACTGGAGGGATGCACTGACTCTTTTCATCCCTTTATACCTCACTGCAGGGCTCAAGGATGGGTGTTCCCTTATGTGTAAGGTAACATGATGTCACTATAAATGACCTGCTAACCTGAAAAAATATAGATTATTTTACGGAAGCAAATTAACACAGTTTAAAAAGGCATAATGGTGAAAAGATGGAAAATAACGGTTGATAGAAAAGATGAATATTAAGCACAAGGGGTTACAGTGGAAACAAAACGCCCTTGACAGTCTAGTGCAACTTTGTAAAAGTGAAATTACTGAATTTTATAACAGCGGTGACTGAAAAGAGGATTTTATTGGACAAGGCTGACACCCAATCTGCTTAATAAGGTCAGTAACTTTGTTAAAGAAGCATATTGGATCTATAACAGCTATGTTCGAATACCTGTGGGAGAGTTTGGAGTGAGACAGCCCCCTCCTCCACCACCATCATTTCCACACCAAGAACAGTTGGTTCTGACACATGGTCTTTTTCAGCAGAGAGAATAAAAAGGTCAAGGATGAATTGTCAGGCACAACATTTTAGCCCACACGGACATGAAGTGATCAGAAAAGGTTCGTACAGTTCTAATAGAAAAAAGGGAAAATTCTGCTGCTGATACCATACAAGCAGATGGATTGACAAATAGGCAGATCTGAAACAATTTGTGGGTCAATTGTTTATTCAAACGTCAGCAAGTTAACGCAACTATTTCGATTGTTTACTGATCATTTAAAGCTGCCGTTAGAAGGCATTTACTGGTGATTCAATACACTGAAATGAATACTGATGCCTCTTTCTGACCTGCAAAAGCAAAACAGACCATCAGGGAGATTTCAGATTCATCATTTCAAGATTCATCATTTCTTCATAATTGTTTTATATTCCTTTCACCCCTGCCGTGGGGAAAGTGTTAGACGAGCAAAATATCAACATCCTGCATAAAGAGAATTTTCAAATTTCTTTCCATGCCAAATTTTCATTGTGGGTGCACTTTAGAAATATGAAACACAAAAGGATAAGATAGGTATGGAGCTCCTGAAGTCCCAAAAAGCGCACAAGATTTGTTTTTTTTTACTTTTTGGTACTTCAGGGGCTCCATACATAAGGATTCTTTGAATTTGATTGGACATTATATGTTCGTAGTAGGGGTGGGAATCATCAGTAGGGAGGCCCCATGATATGATTTTATCACGATACCTGAATCACGATACGATATTATTGCGATTTCAAACGTTTTCAGATATGCTGAGAATTGCAACCATGTAGAAGGCTGCATGAACTTCACAACCTGAACTGTTAGTATTTCAGTCTGATCACACTTAACCGAACACAAATACATACAACTGCAGTAATTTTCAAGAATGCAACTTGTTCAAAATGAATTGTGCAACCCCTTCAAGCATATTTGCTATTAATATAATAGAAATATCGATACTTTGTGGCCATGAGACGATACAATATCTGCACGCAAAATATTGTGATACTTAGCTGTATACATTTTTACCCCCATGTCAAAAAGTCGCCAAAATCTGCTCAACCAAAAAGTTCCTCACAGGAGCTTTGAGTTTGTTTTATGCAAAAATGGAAATAATGTAGCGTGATCTGCCTGAGACTTTTACATGTTTGCTGTAATTATTGGTCAAATGTTTTAGGAAACTGGACATCTTTGGGTGTTTGAAAGCTGATTGGACAGGCAAGCAACTTGAAACCTCCTGGTTAACGAGAAAATCTTTCCAGGTTTTGGGTAGAGCACCTCTTCATATAGCTGCTTTTCAACTGTGCAGATGTGAAGATGGAGAGAAGTGGGGTTTACCAGAACTCTCATCTATGCTTGAGGCTCGAGCCCACAGCCCCCACTCAGGTATCCACACTGTAACAGATATGGCAGGTCACACTAAAGATAAAAACTAAACTAAACGTCTGCAGCCTAGTTGAAATGTGCATAATGAAGAAGATATCTCTAGATTGGCAATATCGTTTTCTATCCATCTTGAGTCCAATGTGCAAAGTTAAATGAGAGGAGCGCTCATTTCATTCAGTACTGTGCAGCCAGCAGGATTTCACTGGCCACACAAACCTTAGACACTTAATGCTGGGTGTTCTTAACTTCGTCACCCACCAGTAACCTTGCGCTGTTATAGTTACTTCTGGTCGTAAAGTAACTGTTCTTTGATTTATGGCAGTAGGAGGTGACTTTGCTTGGAAGTTGTCATAAAGCATTGAATCAGAATCTTGGCTATCTGAAAGCTTTTGTTTCATATAAATTGTAAATGGACATGAGCTCGTATATTGCTTTTCTAGTCTTCAGACTCCTCAAAGCACTTTTACACCGCAGGTCACACCTACACATTCACACACTGATGGTAGAGGTTGCTATGCAAGGTGACCATCAGAAGTAACCAATCCCAGTCATACACGTCTTGCTCAAGGACACATCGGACATGTTGCTGTAGTCGCTGTGACTCTACCAACTGAGCCACAGCCGCCCCAATATCTGCCATGCAAAACAACCTACAGTATTTGAATATAGCTGTGTATAAGAATAGTTCCCGGTATCGCAGTAAAATCCCCTCTGAGGTAATGATGATGCCGTCAATGTGATTTATCTTTGATTTCCAGCTTAAGGACAGAATGGTAGCTTCTTTTTAAGGACAGCCACACAGGGATAACAGTCACAGAAACATGAAGACAGTTACAAAGACACAAACATGAGGACAGAAAACAACACACACACACAAACACATGTATCCTCTAGCTGAAAAAGACTCTTAACTGGGCTATTTTTAGCCTCAGAGAAAGAAAATGACAGCCTGTTCTCCTCTCAATGGAACCGACCACTAGATGCAGGGCTGCCTTCTTTAGGGGCCTCTGCTCCACCTCAGCACACAACTGAACCCGCTGAGGCTCACTGATCCGCACCGGAGTCCTCCCCCATTTACATCTTCTCCTCCACAACCACCAGCATAATGCAACCTGCTCTTCGCAAACAGAATGTCAACCTATATCCTCAGACTGTGAAAACACGCACATATGCCTGCAAGCGTTGTGTGATATTCACTTTTCAGGCTAAATGGGAGCCCACCAGATGGAGAAACAGTGCGTCATGCTGTGTCACAATCTCCTAACTCCCTCACTCAAGATTCTCACTTTCCACATCCAAAAACAACTACGAAGTCTGCTCTCTAACACTTGAGCGAGCAGCGGTAGATGCAGGGAATACGGAGGAGGCAGGGATGGGGTGGAGGCAGGGCGCAGGTCACGCCGTCAGATCGAAGGGATTATCAGCCGAAGACAAACAGAGAGTTATTGACATTAAGCTCGGTAAGACGCAATCGTTTAAACCTTTTAACACAGTCTGTGATCACCCCCCCCCCCCCCCGAGGCCTGCTGGTGTGACCTCGGCATCTGCTCCCAAAAGGGTGAAGAAGTGCATGATGGGAGGAGGAGGAAAAGAAGAAGAAGAACAAACAAGATCGCTCAGTTGCCCCTTGTCACCTTGAATTCCCTCTCATTTCCCCACTGCCATTTTGACACTTTGATGGATCTGCTCACTCACACTCTTCTCATGAATTCCCCCCATCGCCCCCCCCACCCCTGACCCCCTCCCAATCTTGGGCTCCGATGGCAGGTGTGCTAATGTCCTAATGCAGCCTTACTCTTATCACCAGGCCAGACAGACGGGGCTTGGACAGGTTGAGCTGGTAAACAGCGGGATTTAACTCGCGTCTGGATAATGATCTGTGAGGGACACACCTACTTGAACACCTTATTATCCACACATGCTGGTCACTGAGTGTGTGCGTGTGTGGGTGGGTGGGTGTGTGTGTGTGTGTGTGTGTACAGGTAAAATCTTCCAAGCAGGAAGTGGCACAGCACAGTGTGCAGTTGAACCCATGCTGCACGCAAAGCACTCCCAGTCGCACAGTGACTCCCACGCTCACACACGCAGGGAGGAGAGAAAGGGATGAAAACTCCTAATGAATGCACATCGACAGCCGTGACGCGCACTCACGCACAGTGGTGCACTTAAAATAACTCTGTCAGCACTCTACGGGACTCTGGTGGCCGATACATTTCACAGCCGGATCTTTAATATCAAATCAATCCGAAAGTGAACACCCCCCCCCCCCCCCCGCTCAGAGATCGATGGGATTACAATCTTCCCGAGCTTCAACAGCCATTAACTCTGGTTTTGCCTGGGGAGACATTTCCTGCGATCGCCTGCGGTGATAACTCCTTCCAAATGAAACGGAACTAGAAAGCGAAGATTTATAGAGCAGCGGAGTGAAGACAAAACTGACCCCCCACATGTACTGAAACGGCTCTTCTTCCTCATCTATACTTCCCCTTAAAAGTCACGCTGGGGGCTCACCTGTGATTTCCCTGCTGACGTTGACGAAGCCCGCCGCTGTGGTCTCCTTTGAGGCCATGGTGACGCTCCTCCACGCCGGTCCGACCCCCTTATCGGTTCCTCCGCGAATAAACGTCACCCCCCCAAAAAAAGTGCACTTTTAATCTCCCTCGGTCCTCAGCGCCTGCAAGGGGGGGGGGCTCCGGGACGCAGCAACAGTCCGTGCGTACAGTGTGATGTGAAGCGGTGCCGCGCTGCGCACTGGCCAAAACCCGAGGAGCGCCTCCGACTCAGCACTCCAGCACGAGAGAGAGAGAGGGGGGGGGGGCGGGGTGGAGAGAGAGAGAGAGAGAGAGAGAGAGAGAGAGGGCTGTAGCAAAAAAAAAAGAAACGCTCTCATGACAAAGAATGTAAATGATACAGTGTGTGACTGAATGAAAGCTGAGGTGTACAGACTGAAAATGGACTTGTGGCTGGGGGGGGGTCTTTAAGGTAGTTTTTGTGGACTCCAGCAGATAAGCAGCGAGTAAGAAAGAAGATCAGAGCTGAAAGTTGACATGATGCTCAAAATGTGTTTTCAATGCAACACTGCTGTGATGAATACAGCCATATATATCACAATAACAACCATCCATCAATAAGTAATGAGGCAAATGAGGGGGTTCATTCGTCTCTGTACTACACCTGAAGATGATTTCTCTATTGATTTATAAGATCCAAGTGAGTTGTGAATAATCTGTCAAATTTGGGCTGCATGAATTTAACTTATTCTGTAATGTTTGCTATGCACACAAGTGTCCCCTGTGGACTGTTCAATGTAATTAAAAAAAAGAACACGACATTATGGGTAAGAAACTGTAGTCAAGTAAAACAACAGGCTACAGTCATCAAGTCACCTATAGCCTATTAAATTACTTAAACTCAGTTCATTGGCTGTGGAAAAATAGCCTAAATTATTTAAATACTAATACTTTTATTATTATGTTGTAGGAACCTTTTTTTTTTTTTTTTTAAGTTTACCAAATCATTTTTTATCATATAGCATTTTTCCCGCAGAGCCATATTTAATGACAGTAGAGCTACACCTGTGCCCGCCCACCTTACATTTAAGCCAATCATTCAGCAGCTCACCAACGCTGCGAAGTGAAGCCAGCTAGCTTTAGCTACAGCAGCTATTACGATAATAAATCATTATTTTGTCTCTAAAAGCGACAGCTGAACATGTTACAAAAAGCAGCAGCCTAAAATACGCAGCCTCTCCCTTTTAATTAGGCGAATGGGGCCTGCTGACGTTAGGCTACCTGACTAGTCAGTCTAAAGCTAGGTTGGCTTGTCAACTTGTCACAGCCTATCACCAAGATACGGTTAATATCTCTTCATTGCTGTGGTGTTCAAATGTTCATAAAGAGAGACACACAACTCACAAACACAATCTATCGGAAGTCGCCTCCTCGTAAACTCTTAAAGCCTCCTTCTTTGAGAATTACTCTGTTGCTCTTGAACTACTTCACCTGTCGAAAAACCCGCTGGGAGGCTGCCGTCAAATTTGATTGGCTTACAGGTGAGGGGGGCGGGCCCTGATGACAAGGGAAATCACCGGAAAGTAATATTAAAAAAATACACCAATCATTCTGTTATTTTATTTTACTGTTCTTTATGTATGTATTTATTTAATTATCTATTTTGGTAATGTGGAAATTTTTTGCTTCATTAAATGATTATTTCTCATCAGCATAAAAAATAATTAACTGAACAGGAAACGAAATATAATGCACCGAACTCAGAAAAAAAAGATAGGGCTTTAAAAATATTGGAAACACTCTTCAGTGCAATCATACAAAGATTTATCCAGGAGGCAGCCTTGATACAGCCCGAGTACTGTCTAAAACCATTCATTTAAAATATTACCCATCTGAAACCCCATAAAACTCAATCAAGTTAACACAATGAGATTGTGAAGTACCCTAAAGCATCAGCTGCCAAAGATTTCTCAAAAAGTTTTGCAGTTTTGGATCCAATTGCAGTTGGTTCCAGGCACAGGGAGCAGAACATATAAAGCTCTTTGACTTAGTTTTGTAATGGAGCTACAAGTCTGATCATGAAATTGAGTCCAGGCTACCCTGACTTTTTTTTTTATTTCCCTCTGGACATACAGATGGAAATCTGGTCATGATTGCCCCAAATCTCTACCAGATGAACAGAATTGTGAGTATGTATTTTAGGAGTGATAAGAATAAAAAAATAATAATAATCTTAAAATGTATTTCAAAAATGATAAGGATTAGATCATTGTGAGAAGCTTTAATGTGTCCAATAAATCTTGTTCTGTGTGTGCTTGTCCATGTAGACAGACACTAAGTAATTATTTATTTAAAGATAGCCCCAATAGAAAAGTAATGGTTTTATTATGTCAGAGAAGAAAGTTGATTTGATGCTTTTGATAAATGTGTTTTCAAGGCAATATTTCTGTAATGATGTGAGGACATAGAGGGAATAGAGCCATATATCAAACTGTTTCATTCAGTGCATTTCTCCTCCGAGTTGCTGAAGCACCACTCGCCTGCTGTGATAGGATTTGGGCTGGAGAATTGGGAGGCCAGGTTGAAGCTCAAGCTGTAAGTAACGATGATGCATGATTCACCTACTCATCTGAATGGCCACTACTTGTCAATGTCATCGCTTATGCAACACAGTTCAGCTGTTCATCGTGGATGCAGACAAAACAAAACCAAGACCAAAGACCCCTTTGGTCCAATATATCACATCCTAATTTGACAAATGTGTTCATGAAGCACTGATGAAAGGGTCGTGGAGGGTGCAGCTGCCTCTGGTGTCCAAAAAATTGGCCCCCTCGAAGGCGCCTAACAAAAGTGCAGTGTCTGCTACATTATATGCATGCATGCTTTTATGTCTGATTGCGCATGTGTGTGAGAGACCTTTGTGTCTGCCTCTCACTGATACTTGCTCGATGATGAAAGGAGACTCAGTGGGGGGGCATAATGCCTAAGAGAGAGAGAGAGAAAGGGGGTGGGGGCGTTAAAAGAGAGAGAGAGCCAAGACAGCTAGAATAAGAGGTTTATAGTCTGAGGGAGTGTAACTGTTTCCAGGTTTCATCCAGTTAAAAACTTCAGCACTGTTCAAAGCTGCACTTGAAAGGACGTTGCATTATTTATTCATCAATGCAGCATCTCATAGAAAAGGAATCAAGATGCTCAGTGCGCCCTCAATTACCCCTCTATCTAGGTACTGTGTGTGCATGAATCTGCTTACATAAAACAATGCTGGAATAAAAAGGTTTTACAAAAGTGCTGCAGTATCCGGCAAGCAGCGAGGTGTTTAACACAGAAAAAAGCTTGTGTGCAAAAAAAAGCACACAAGACAACATCTGTGCAGGGAAGACGTGAGACATCCTCATATCACAGAGATACTTAAAGGCACTGAGGAAGAGAGAGAAGAAGAAGAAGAGGAGGAGGAGGAAGAGGAGGAGGAGGAGGAGAGGTAGGAGTGTATCAAATTGGCAACCGCATCCAGTAACAGCCAGAGGATATAAAGTGTAAGCACCCGCCGTTTCACTGTTCCCCCTGACGTCAGTACTAACTCATAATGATGCTTCAAAGCAGGCTTACGATCCTCTCCCATCATTCAACACAAGCTGGGTTCTCCTCAGTGTGCCGAATGAAGAGTCAGAGAGACACACACACACACACACACACACACACACACACACACACACACACACACACACACACACACACACACACACACACACACACACACACAATACCTTCAGACATTTCAGCAGACTTGTGATACACTGCCCTCCTCTGGTTCAACAGAGTAAACTACGACCTAGAGGACACTCAGTTTGTATCACATGTAAACAGAAGGCATGTTCTGAACTGACAGGTGGCGTACGTTCATCTAGAAGGCAGTCACTCTGTATACTGTTTAACTCTGGAATATCAAAACCAAAACCGTACAGTTATTAACATAAAGGCACCAAAATAACAATGAGAAATACTACTAATCTTACGGTGTCATTGGTGGAATATCTGTATTAAAAGTAAAACTGTACACTGTAGGAATATCATCTGTGAAGGCAACAAAATCGTTAGTTTAAGAGGAAAAAGGGTTTGAGCAGTTTAGATGTACTGCAATGTCCTGTGGTGTAGTCTGTCACATATAAATTGAAGAAAAGGAGTGGAAAATAACATCATCTGTCATTCAGGAAACAGGCACACCAATGACCATTGTTACCAGCACCTCAAAGCCCAGTCTGACTGGTCAGGCCCCCTCCAAAGTGTTATTAGAGAAATGTGAGGGGTCATAAGCTAAATTATGAAGCCAGGAAAAAGAAAAGATAAACTCCTGCCATATGAAATAATAATAATGCCCTTTCATTTTTGCTTTTATATTTTTGTGAAGAATCATACTTCATTGTGCCACACATAGATATTTCAATTATAGGACTCCCACTTTGAAAAACATTGTTCTAGTATTTCTCCAATAGTAGTTTCCATTTGAAAAGTCAAGTGAAACACTATGAATGAAGAGCGACTGTTTGAGATCCTCCAGGGTTCCCTGTATTTTCACAATATAAGACAAAAAGAAGATTTAATTATGTTTATAGATGTAAATGGACTTGGGCTTGTATAGCGCTTTTCACACCGCAGGTCACATTCACACACTGATGGCAGAGGTTGCTGTGTTTATTAGTAACTAATCCCATTCATACACATTCAAACACTGCCACAAAAGCAACAAGAGCAAACTGGGGTTGAATATCTTTCCCAAGGACACATTGGACAAGTGGCTGCAGGAGCTAGGGATTGAACCCCCGACCCTCCAGCTTAAATACAACAGACTGAGCCACAGCTGCCCCATAATATATTTACAAAGTTTTGTTGTGTTCTTTTATACAATGCCAATAAAGAGTCTATCGATACATATAGAACATAAAGCAGCATAACTTATATTGTTAAATTCACTCTTCACCATTGCATTATCTTTTTACAAATATCTTTGAAATGTATATAATGTACTTGAACATATTTTAAAATAGGTTTGTTTCTATTTTGCACATCTCTGCATTAGTAGTTAAATTCTTATATTACCTTGTTAAGCTTTTTGTCATTACTTTAAACTGCACATACACCGAGAACAATGCAAGTCCCTGTACATGCATAGACATACTTGACCAATAAAGATTAGTCTGATTAAAAGGAGGCGAAATACTCAAGAAGAGAACAATCATAAGTCTTCATTCTTCTGTATTGTGTTACTAACCACCA